TTCTTAGCTACATAACCTTGGCATATTTTGTAAACCGGCATTGTCCTAGCTACGTAACCTTGGCATATTTTGTAAACCACAAAGGTGCACCAGACCTTAAACATTGTTTAGAACAGAGCAGTTTTAGTCAATGTGCAATGTCGGGAGTTGTTCCTCAATTGTTGAAAACAAACATTGGCAAGAAGGTGTTCTGATTCACAACATCGTCCATAGATGTTTTTGGGGGAAAATTGGTAATAGAAACGTCATGTCAATGGCATGTGTCTTGTCTTGATTTATTCACGAGCAAATAACAACACGTACAATACATCATTTGTGTGTACGTAGATTAACATACGTTAAGCATTGTACACTAGTGGTGTAACATATTTCTCAAGTCACTCATGGTGCAAGTCCGAACCCTCACTTTAAATTGTGTCTCCCGCCCTCGTTCGTGCAATTGACTCAACTCTGTCCAAAACAGTGGGTTTATATCTGTAAACCAACACTTTCCCTTGTTTTGTTCTAATAAGTACTAGGTACAAAACTTGCAAAACAAATATCAGTGTATAATAATAACAACAAAAGATTGCCCACATAAAACAATGGTACAGTACAGTACTTAATTAAACACATAAGTATTCCTCTTTTCAGTAGCGTTGTTATAATGACTAGAATGATGGGACTTGTACTTAAACTACTGTTGCTGTTTTCACTCGTACACTGTCACAAAGCTTCACCTTGCACTCCAGGTAGGCTCTAATTTATGTAATTAAACTCGCTTGCCTCATCGTCATTGTTGCTAGGTGTTACCATGTGTGTTGTTTTACAACAAATCGTGGCTTTTAAAATTACTTGTGTTTCAGGTGACCGAATAATACTTTTGTTTTCTTCTTTTCTGTATAGGATCAAAAAACATTGGCAATAATACTATTCTTATTCCAAGAAATATAGATGCGAATGTACTGTCTGGATTTAACCTACGTATAGGAAGTGGTTCGGCGGAATCCATGTGTGTTGCGCACATGCAAAGTATGAATCAGTTAATCGTGTATTGTTTTTAATTGAATATCCTGCCTGTATATGCCATTCGACGACTTCCACGTATTCCACTCTCAACTCAACTTTGTTTATTTCTACTAGAACACACTGATTATATGGTAAAAATCGCCTGCTCAGGACACCAGCGAGCGACGAACACAGTCAAGTATCAGCTGTCCAAATATGAAGGTCAATTCTACTTGGATGTTTCCAACGTTACACACGAAGATAATGGACGGTTTATATTTTGGTCGAATAACCCCGAAAAAGGATTATTGGCCGATTCAGAAATCTACGTAACAGGTGATTACTAAGTATTGTCCCGTTTTCGGTGTATGTTTTACAAGTGGATGTTTTTGTGAAACTGTTATATTTTGTTCTTTCAGATAATAATTCCCCGACCATTAAAATTTATGGAAGAGACGGTAGGCGTTCTTCATTTCATTATCCAATGACCTCTGAAAACGCAGTTGACATATCCTTCACTAAACTTGAACACAAACTACTATTCACACTTCCTCCGTGCGATGTACATTTTCCAAGAGAAGTCGAGGTCACTCTTTGTGAGGGGATTGTGTCCATACTATTCATGCGTGTGTCATGTTCAACGGCCGGTCAATACCGCTTGATGGAGGCTATTACGCGTGGTAACCATGTATCGACCAACATTACGATGCTGGTTGCAGGTACTGTCATATATATTAGGCTATACACGTATATGCTATTTGTTGATTATAACTGCTTGAATTGGATTTCAGATCATACACTAAGGTAGCAATACTGAAATGACGATTTGTTCTGTTTTATCAATTCAGACACAATCAAAGTTGAAACGTTTATAACGAAGCAACCGAAGGGAGGTTCTAGCGATGGTGAAATAGTCTGCGTTGCATCAAAACAAGTAAACAGATTAGAGTGGTACAATGGAAAGCTTCTCATCAAAGTATACTTAACAGTTATTTGTTTGTTCGTTCGTTCCTTTAAAAAATTGATAGTATTTCTTCATTTATTTCTCAGTTAATAAATTTATTTTATTTTTGTTCAAATGTTGTCAGGAGGGCGGAATTTACTCTCTTCATCGAAGTTATCAAACGCATTTAACGCTTACTGTAAAAAACGTTATGGCTTTCACCAGAGGACCGTTTTCATGCAGAGCAGAAACCCAATGCGACTACTATGTTTCCAAGGAAGTGGTTTTTCAAGGTGTGTAAAATTTACCCTGTATCTTTTCTCGAAATCTAGTTATTACATGATAAAAATTAATCCTGACTAGGAATGTAGGCTAACATTAGATAATCCTAAATCAGTTCAGACTAATCTGTTCAACGATTATATAAAATAAGATGTCAATAGTTAATGTGTTTAATATTTAGTTAGGATAATAATCTTCTTTCAAATAAGTACATTAGATGTTCAAGATGGAAGTTGAATGAGTATATATTTTCAAGCTTAAATATGGCGTGCCGTTTGTTGCACAATAAAACAATGTTACAATATCAATAATAATATTTATAATTATACTGGAATAATATATTGTGTTTTTTTATTTCCTATTTATTTCAGAATTGCAATATAGTACAGATCAGACTACTACAGATACCTTAACTAATACGCGTCAGGAAATTGAGAGTAAGTATATGTTAAATGCCTTCATAACATGTTTATCTATGTAATAATATAAATATATATACACTGTCATACATCCAAACGTTGACGTGATATTATAACCACATTTCGCATTTGTAGATTATTATACTGGCAAATTATTTCAAATACAATTGTGGTTGGTTTCAGGTACAACGAATGTAGATTTTTCATCTACTATTAACAGCATAAATGGAGAGAATGGTACGTACCAAAACATATCAAATCAAATCATGCGTGTTTTAGTTCAGATTAAATTAAATGCATCCACCTTGTTGTAAAAATAAAGATAACTTTTAAAATACACTTTCATATATATATAGATCTAATGTATAGTTTTAGCGCTTGAATAATGTATTATCATGAAATTATCAAACTGTTAATATTGCAAGTGATTGTAAAGTGTTCTAATTTAATACAGATTCGGGGTGTGCTTCAGGCCCATTGGCGCTGTTTAATCCACTCAGTATACTGTCGCTATTAGTTCTTGTTGCGGAAAATGTGTTTATTATACTCATCATTGTCCTCCGAGAGCGAAAGAGAGAAAGAGTGAAGGAGACTAGCTAATAGGAGCAGTGCAAATCCAGTGTAGATAGGTATGTGTGTATTGTACTCCTCAGTAGTTATTCGTAGAGCTAGTGTGCTTCACAGACATATGCAATCATTCAACATGAATACGCGAAACAACGTTCTGGTGATCAACACTCACATCTTAATGCTTTTGTACAAGAATATGTTGTAAACTATGTTTATATATTGATGGCCAGTTAAAAATAACAGACAGACGTCACGTGTTCTTGTTTTTCTAATTGTACCAATACGGTTATAGACGACACACAAATTTTCAAAATAAGTGATATAATATTTCAAACTATTGACATTCTTTCTCTACACAGGAAGTACCTCAGCGATGCGACTGGTCAATGCAACTATTTTGATATTTAACTTTTGAGATGTTTTAAAACTTTATTTGTGTATAAAAACACATACTCCGTGCCTTGTTGAACTTAGTATGGCATATTGGTGCTTGACGTAAACGATTTTTCGAAACATCTTGTTATTTAAAAACAGAGGATTTTGTTATTAAATAAAATAATTAATTGAAATTATGTTATGTTTGTTCACTCGATATTGGTAATTGACAACACAACTTTTGCATTTTCGAAGAGGTGTTATTAAAACGCAGGTATTCTTTATTATCCAACATTTGTGTAGGGTCCAGTTTGATGGTGATTAGAAGCTTTACGTCTCTGCGATTCTACATATAGATTAGTCGGTTCGCCAAACATTGCCTTTACCGGCCGGAAGTGGTTTATTACAGCATGACCCCAAAGTCTACGAACGTAATTAACTCGCATGAATATCGATAATATCTCATTAACCTGTTCAGTTGCCAGGTCATAATATACTCTTTACAGATGTAGGTGAATTTCTAGTGACGTGTCTGTCACATGGGTTACCTCTAGTCAATAATTTTAGTAGTACTGTTTACGTTCTATATAAATGTCACGTGAGAGCATATTATAATATATGCTAGACATTTGAGCTAGACATCACGTGACTACCGCCATATATTTAAAATCTTGGCAGGCGGAGTTCACCGTACTGGAGTTGTCCAAAAAATATCCTAATACAGCAGTCTTTTACCATAATTTATCAGTTTGTAATTCATGAATACGTTTCAGCCAGATCGTTTACACGCTGTTTCGCGTACGACATTATAGGTTGGTTACCATGCACTACGAAGGTGATGGCAGCCTCTCGCTCGCCTTTCTTTCATTTCAGTGATATCATTCATATGCAGATATGCACAAACTTAAGGGCAGTCGAGAGGTTACCGAAGGTCGCATTCAATACAAATGGATAGGTCAATTTGCCTTGATATATAACGATAACATTTAACTGGGTCAATTATAAGTATGTTTTGTATGTAGTGGTTACTTATAATATTTAGTAAATCGTATTTTCTAATCAACATTATAACACGGGATATTATTTATTTATTTTCATTAAACAACACTTAAATTTAATTTACATATCAATCCAAATCCTGTTTAAGCAAGTACACTGAATTGCAATAATGCAATGTTCTTAATGAAGCGGTATTTATATTTCCTTAACACTTGGTACGATTGTATACCAAACGTAACAGACTGTTTGAGAAACAATTATTTTCATAACATACCTAATTGGTCTGTTGTGAATCCAAGGAAGTAAATTCCAATCCTACTATAGATCAAGAACTGACCTGGATATTAAACACCGTCTCGGTCGTCCGTGAACGAATATATATATCACTGACTGTATCCCTGTTTAATCATCAAGCACCTCGAATTGCCCGGCCGTGCACGTGTGCATTTCCCTAATTTAGGAAGTTCCTCTTGGTGACGTAATGGTAGGTATAAAAGAGTGCATCGTATTAAACATGGAAATTCCAGTGAGAACAATGTACAAGATGGCGTGAACACCCTAGGTTTAGGATGATTGTGATCCAGTTTGCAATGAAAAATGCAACCGTCGGTCTGATTACCAACAATGCAATGTGTTATTTTCATCAAGTTACATTCTTGAAACACTGTTTACACAGAAAAGAAGCATTCATATCTACCATGTGACCAACGAAACATCAATATAGGTGGTATTCGATACGATATCCCGATATTTATTCATAAAACTCGATTGAGCTGTCACGTTTGACCTAACAAACGGAATTTATTCTACTACTTCTTTTCCAAATGTATCGTCTAGAAGAATCCTAATTATTATTTCTCTTAATTTTATAGACATAAAACGCGATAATACATATTGTTGTACCATTTTATTTTATTATAATATTATACTTGTTATACGTTGTCATACAATCTGTATGTTGCATTTGCCGTTCTAACAAATATACAAATCATTGCACATCCACTAATGTATACACATATTTCTATAGGTTCCATTGTAGAGGTTTTATATTATGTATAAGAACTTCTCAAAAAAAGCAGTTCTTGTAATTATTGATAAAATAAAGCCTCTCTGCAAAGCTCTCATATTAGTTTTTATATTATTCGAACTATGGTTTGTTTATTTCGTCTTTAAATGTAGTTTAATTTCGATATAATAACTGTTTGACGTGTTCTGTCTTCGGGATGATAATACATTAATTTTCAAGCACAGATTCTGAAGGCTGGTCTTATTTCTGTGTTGACATATTGCTCGTTTTGTATCATGCACCTGCACTATGGACTGTAATATGTACTCGTTTGCTAGGGAGTCACAGTGACTGCAAAATGGCGGTGATGTCATTATGATGCATTTTTCCAATTCTCATATAAGGCGCTTCAACGTGTTTGTGTTCTTGCTATACTTCGGTAAGTACATGACGAATGAAAACGATTTAGAAATGGTAACATTATTTTACAATATGGTAGTTGTTGTGTACTAATATTAAACTCAAAACATTATAGTTTCGATTTGAATTGAAATGAAACGAAACGATAGGGTGGAACTATATTCACATCCATTATACATCGCCACTGCGATAGTGATAAGTAGACAAATGTGCTAATACTAATGTTGTGATGTGGTTATCGCCCTCACGGAAACGAGTTTGATAGTTTCAAATTAAATAACAACAACATATTTTTATATGAGTCACGCGTAGACAAAGGTTGTCTGGTGAACCTAAAAACTAGGGCACCTCATTTTAAATATCGAGTACATAATATACGGAGTATAGTTTATGTTTTATGACGTCAAATATATAGGTCTACTATATTTGCGTCCATCGCATGCCTTGTCACAATATGCAGCACACACTATGCATTAATGCGAATATGAGATGCAACTATGTGCATCAAATAACACATGTTTCTGAGGGCAATATCGTGATTTTATGCCTGCCCAAGGGGTGGTGATAATGACCATAATATTGATGATGCCAGAGCCGAATGACCATGTGTTATTAATTTTATCACATCGAACAAAATAACACTATCGGAATAACTAAAAGGTAACTTCCCTGTACCGGTACTTATCGCACAGCCCGGTTCATAGCACACAGCACAGTAACGGGCGGATTGGATTGGACCGCGCATGAGAGGTGGCGAGTTCCATCAAGGTACCATAAATGTCGGTATAGGTGGCGAGAGCCAACGGGGTACTATAAATGTTGCTGGAGGTCACAAGTGCCAGCAAGATCTCTTAAATGACATTGGAGGTGATGATCTTGAGTGCCAGCAAAAATACTGTAGATGTCAGTCGAAGTGGCGAGTGCCAGCAGGGTACTGTAAATTCTGCTGGAGGTGGCGAGTGCCAGCACGGTACAATAAATGTTGCTGGAGATCGCGAGTGCCAGCAAGGTCCCTGAAATGACATGGAACGTGGTGAGTGCCAGCAAGGTACTGTAAATATTGCTGGAGGTGGCGAGTGCCATCAAGGTACCATGAATGTCGTTGGAGGTGGTGATTGCTAGTAATATGCCGTAAATGTCGGTAGTGTCAACTACCAGAAAGATACTGTAAATGTTGGTGGAGGTGGAAAATGTCATTAAAATGGCATGGGGGTGGCGAGTTCGAGCAGTATACTGTAAATGTCTGTAGAGGTTGCAAGTGCTAGAAGGTACTGTACATACCGGGACAGGTGGCGAGTACCAGCAAGATACTAGAAAATTCACATTCAACAAAATATTGGAAGCAGTTTAAATATAAATGCTAATGGCAACAAGATTATAAATATCCAACTATACTGTCCCATGAATCTAGGGAACATATCTACATGTTACCAGGTTACACCACTTTTTGCTGAAAAGAGTTTCAGTATGAAAATGAGTGCGACAGATTCCCATCTGAAGTGTTATCTTTTTGGAGTTTCTTCTTGCTGTTGTCAACTCAACCATATATACAAGATCCAACAAGTTACTTATTTACTTCATAATTTGTTGTGTCTGTTGTAGAGTTTATCCGTACCAGCACTGGACTAGAGACTGGCGCTAACGTAAACAAATCAGTGGTACTATCATGCCCCGTGAACCCACCCAATGATGCTGTATCCATAGTAACTGTATCAGTGAGATGGAGCAAAGGGCAACTGAGAGCTTTCATTGGTCAAAAGCTACTACGCGATGGGGGAGATAAGTACATAGACAGCAGCAAGTATGAAATAGTGAACACGACATCTCTGTTGATAACACGTGTATTATACTCGGATGATGACGTATACAGGTGTACACTTTCGTATTATACCAACAATCGCAGTGACGAACGTAGGCAGAGTTCTGGTGACGTAAAATTATCCATTTGTGGTGAGTGTAAAGCCAATTTCTCCAAAATCGACGTATATATTATTGCAAGATACGAATGTCCAATTCATACGAATTAAAATGTATAACTGTCTGGTGTGTAGCATTACTCATTACTTATTTTATTCCACACGAACAGAGTCGTTTGATTTGAAGCTTGTTGTTCGTCTTACTGACAAAGTTAACAACACTGGTAACCTCACATATGATGTCCCGGCATTCAGTAGCATTTCCTCGTTATGCACGGCGTACGGTGGGAGACCCCAGACAACGATAATATGGTATAAAGATGGCGAGAAGTTATCCAGCATCCATCAAAATATTACACACACCCCGATTGGAGATAGATTCAACAGTGTCAACGCCCTCACATTTAAATCACTGCAGCCGCAGTATAGTGGTTTATATAGCTGCAGAGCGCGCAATCCGGCGATGAACACATACAAAGAAAAGCATTTCAGCCTACACGTACTTCTTCCAAAAGGTAATATCTTCTTGAACGACATGGAAATAATGTACGAAAATCATTACTACATATTTTTATTTACTGTGACACCATCGCACCAAAATTCCGATAATGAATCTGTAATCGGGGTATGTGCATTTGGGTTTGGATATTTACTAGGCGATACATTTGTCACCTGCTATGTACATATGCTACGTGCTACATACAACAATACTGCAATAGCATTTCATTTGTCTGAATATGTCGTTCTGATTGGGCGAGATCATTTTGTTATTAATTATGCATGTGATGGTGTTCGCCCAGAAGCGAATAACACACAGTAGGATTAAATATACTGCAACCATCTGGGACTTAAATATAATGCATATTAGGTCAACAAATAATGTTTTCAAAATTACGCAAACAGCGCCAAACGAAAATGGTTGTCATCTGCGGTTGCTCGCTCGTAAACCCGAGACGTTTGTCGATCCTCGTAACGTGATCAGGCGTACGTTGCAAATCGAGATCGGTATTATTTAAATTATGTCGATTGAGACGATTTTACTAATTAAATGCTGATGTTAACAAACAAATCACATAAAAATCCGGATGAATGTTGGTTACAGCTCGATGTGTCATTACTAATTGTATACAAGTATCATGGCCTATTCAATTCAACCAGGGTTTGCCAATAGAAAGTTTCGGGTGATGGAACATTGTTGTCCTCGGCTCCTGCATATTTGTCGGGAATTGTGGCGGTTTATTTCTTAATTGTCATAACATTGATGCATTTGTTTCTGATAACATTTTGTTTCACACTATATTTTCAAGTTAAAATTCACGAGCAGAATAAAAATATTCATACTTTACATATATAATTATTCATGTTAATTAACTATGTCATCGTTATACAAGTGTAATTTCCTTATATACATCGAAGATGCGTTATTATATATTTTAGATTCCGATGAGCTATTAGGTGATGGAAACACAGTATTACGTCACGGTAAACTTTCTCCACTTGGGGTTATTATATTAAGTGTCATGGTAGTTGTATTGCTTTCGATTGTGGGTGCTGCAGTTTTGTTTCTGCGATACAGGAAACAGCGAACGGTATGTATATTCGAGCACACGTTGTCAGAATATTGGTAGTCGTAATTGCTGCCTCACATAATTCAGCAGTTAGAATGACAGCGTAGTGATCATGGATATCTTATCTCGGTTACAAATGACGAATAACATAACACACCCTGAAAAGTAGTCATTCTGAGAATGCTGACCCCCGCCGTTGCTACAAAGTATTGACCTTTACAATGAATTTTTCTGATTCTGGTCACGAATCCTTCCAGAAAAATCATATTCACATGGCAACAGGATACAGTTTTAATTTATAGTGAAAATGTGTTTACTACCTTTATGTAAAAAAAATGGCATGGGATTCATCAATAATGTGTGTTGTTATCTGGTAATGATGAACAGTCCTGTCTCTATGGCAAATGTGTCAAGATTTCTACACAAATCTAGAATATTGGTTTTGTCCCAAGGGCAAATCCTCCTGAATAATAATTGAAATGTGTGCATAATAGTTTTCAATTAATTTTCCCACCGACAACCCATTGAACGCCAAATTCCCATCTCCATGGCAACCGATTTCATAACTCTATGAATATATTCGATTGGCACTTAGGGTAATTTTCACAAAAATCACGAAAACTTTCCTACATCGTTATGAGTTTTACGAGTTATAAAAATACGGATATACAGCGAATGCACATGTATACATGGCAACCGATTATCTCTCCAAAAATGTAATCAGGGCAATTGTCATTAACAAATGTGTGTTGCTTTTTCAGGTGCAAGGGGACACTCGATATACGATAGTATGATGTATTTTTAACAGTAAGTTTCTCGTGCATTCTACTTGGTGCAGTTATTTCAGTATATTTTTTACTTAAATAACATGCGATGAATTAAGTTGTGTGGTTGTAATTTGGTTAGATGACTTGATTTGTAAAATAAATGTGGCATTATTAGCTAACATATTCGTCAGATCTCATGAATATTAACCATCTGATAAAACGTTCCTGCTACGTTTGCTCGGCGTCTGCTGAGTAATAGTCATATGATAGAGTAGCCAATCACTACAACAGCTGTGCACAAGACAGTTAAGGTTTACATCACATGAATGAAAAAAACACTACAGAGGAAAGCAAGTGATCAACGGTAAGTGTCGAAATGTCTTATTCTTGTATTCATACATATACAAATTCGTGATTTGTTAAAAACGTTATACTGTTTACAAGTTCAAATGTCAAGTCAAATGGAACGATCAACAGAGGTTACTCACACGCATGTATTCTCTATAGCTGCCGTGACAGGCCAGTATATGTATATCTGATCTAGTACTGGCGTAATACGGTTCTCCGATGGCTTTGCCCTTCATACAAACTTAAATTTGCTCACAGTGTTCATAATTGGAATCAATAATCGACTTATTCGCTGTAGTTGTTACTATTTAGGCAGATAGTTTAGATATGTGTCGACTTGAAAGCACTCTAAGTTAGATTGAAACCAGTTATATGCTGATGTTAAATTACATGTGATCTGTGCATTGTTTTGAAATGAATTCGAGGGCGACGAAATGCTGGTTTGGGTTCCTTACATTATTCTGCCTTTCAGGTGAACACAGATTGAGGCTTCTGGGGGATTGATCCATTTTTGCTCTTGCATAAGCATTATAATCCTCAACTTGAGACTAGTTCATTGGAAGATACATTTAATATTTATTGGCGATCCGCTCCGCTAGGATTGCCCTTAATCTCACTTGTGTGTGATTTCCAGTGTTTTCACGTATTGATTCTTCTGTGATATTTTGGCTTGGGCGATTTCGCTCAAACTTGGCAGACAGGTCACACCATCACCCTAGTTATTTGGTAAAATCTGAAAAAAAAATTGGCCCACCGTTGCCGTTTTTTAGATAGCTTCGCGGGAAATGTATCTCCCCCTATATATTTAGGATAAAACACCTCAGACATAGCTCATTCTACTGTGCGGGCACAAAGTTACTACATGTATTTGAATTTTTGATATCTTTTTTCATTAGTGAGACGTTTCACCCCAAAGTTGGAATAACTGTTCACCAAGAATGGCGTCTGTGATTTTTTTGGCTGGGCCGATTTGGCAGGAAATTCACACCTTCACTCTAGTTAGTTTGTAAAATCTGAAAATAAATTCTGGCCCACCGTTACCTTCACGCCAAATGTATCTCGTCCTACATTTCTACGATTAAAAAGCACGGACGTAGCTCATTCTACTCTGCTTTAGAGTGGGCATAAATCTGCTGTTTTGTTTTTAATGTCTATTTTCAATACCGAGAAAATTGACCTCAAAGTTGGGGTAACTTTTCACCAGCAACGGCTTTTAATTCCTCTGTGATTTTTTTGGCTTGGATGAATTTGTTCATACTTGACAGGCAGGTCGTACCGTCACTAATTGGAAAAAAATCCTGGCCAACCGCTGTCATGGCAACAGCCAAAAACTGATTTTTCTGAATACTTTCGCCCCAAATTTATTACCTCCTACCAGTCTTGTGATAGTGTTCAAATGGCCATGCTTTTCATTTTGGCTACGTGGCACACTGGTAAGAGATCACTGGCGCCGACATTGTTCCACTGTATCAACGTAATCCCAACGCAACTTTGAACTTTGAATGAACTGCAAATGCTGCCTTCAATCTAGAAAATACTGTCGCGAACCGGTTGGAATTAATCAATTTCACAGCAGAATACGTCCTTGCAATAAAATAAAGTGACTGAATGTTTTTTTGCACTTCGTTTACGGACCTCGGTCTTAGTTATAAACCGACGTTAGCTTCACGTTCATGTCCTACAATGGCAATAGCCGAAATTAAACATGTTGCGTGTTTTTGAGCGGAGTGGATCGCCAACAAGCCTATCGGCTTTTTTAAACTTATCGGTTGGTTCAGTTATGATGTAGCCGGTTATTAGTCGTTTTCAAGTCTAGATTAATGGTATTATTATAATTATTTTGGAAAGTTACTTTATGCGCAATCCGACTAGTATATTCTTCTGATCTACGTGGCAAATATTATCAAATTGATTTTCAACTGAAGGCAGTGTGATTGAGGCAATTTATACCTCTAGTAATATTTAGTTCAGGTTTTGTCATTTCCTCCTGTAATAATTCAAAATGTATTTCAACAATATTTTTTTAAATAAACAAAATAATACACATACAATACAATAAAAGCCTTACTGCATATCAAAGTTTTAAGGTAGCGAGAAGGTTTTGTGACGTTTTTAAATAAAACATTCTCTGTCTGTTGTCTCGTTCAAAA